GAGAGAGAGAGAGAGAGATGTTTTATATTTTTTTTTTAAAGCAACTATGCATATATTTTCATTACACCAGTGGATTAGTCTCATCATTCTGTGTATAAGAGTATTAAGATACAGTTATCAAAACGTGACCTTAAGAAATTAATCCACATGCACATATAACAGAATGCATTTTATAGGGAATGAACAATACATTCATGACTCCTGATCGAAATTTCAAGCTAATGTTTAAACTTCTTTATAAAAAAAAATTTAAAATATCGCAAATGGTAAAAAAAACGATTTTTTAAGTATTAAACCTTAATTATCTTGGAAATCTGACGTGCTGGAATATTTTCGTTTGCGGTATCGTTTTCAGCGTCCAAAAATATATAAGACATACGTAGTCCGATCCAAAATAATTTTTTGCTCTAAACTATCAATATAAAATTTCAACCGATATATCATCAGATATTAATGATATCTGGTTGGACAGTAAAAAAAATGTCGGATACCGAATATTTTACGGACATTCGATGCATCTCTAGTTCCTTGATATTTAATGATCCGTATTTAGAATGTGTTTTTATTGACAAAAGCGTGCTTTTAACTCTAAAATTCTGTAGTATGCGTAACGCAAACAATAGCACGAGCATTAACATCGTTGTAAACGCGTTCTGAATACGGGCCTAATATATGTAATGAATCTTAATATATACTGAACGTTCTGAAAAAGTGAGAGACATCTAAATATCTCAAAAAATATAAATTTTATAAAAAAGTATTTCAGACAAAAGTTACATTAAAAGGATCTATTTACTGATTTTGGTGACGCCAAATTGGTGAAGCCTTTTTAAAGCCTACCCCACCTTTGTTTGAAACACTTTTCTATTAAACTTATATTTCCCGAGATATTCAGGGGTCCCTACCTTTTTAGGACACTATATCAAATTGTATAGCACATAATTTTTTTATATATACAGTTATGATTCTTAATAAATGTCAATATTCGTGATATTATTATTTTATTTTTAATTGCATGAACATTCTAGTGATTAAAACAAGGAAAGGATATATATAATAGGTTATTTAGTCTTTATTAATTGTGATATCATTTTCTTCTTTTAAGCGCTACGTTCATTTCTGTAAAGTATGGACATATAATTAACAATCATATCCTGTATATATACACACACACACACACACACACATACGTACAATCAGAAAATTTACATCTATTTTACTTCTCAGGAGAGTTATCTTAGCATGACACAGAAATTGATATAAATATATAGAAAAATATAATACCTTTAATTCCTTTAACACTTTAAAACAAAATAATATAATCATCAACTGTACAAAATAAACTATTACGTCTGAAAATATAGTACAGTCTGTGAAACATTCTTATTTTGTTTAAGGGGGTAAAACAGAGTAAAGACCTATAAAAGAGTTCATCTTTATCAAGTAAGGTATAAGTTTTTTAAAGTAATTATAAGTTTGAGAAAAAATATATTAAATGATACATCAATTGGGCACGCTTTAAAGACACTTTAAGAATTTTTGTATGTCAGAATACAAGGTAAGGCATTTAAAACAGATCACCTGAATAAAACTCGCTTGTTTTTAACAATAGAAGAAAAAATATATCAAACAAAAGTTGCTTGGTTTCGAGGGGCACGTAATGTAATGTCAATTTTTTAAGTGGAGGCGTAAAGGATAGGCAAAGGTCAAATGTGTTTTTTTTATTTACATTCTGATAGAGCATTTCAAGACGAATAACTGAAAGTCATTCAAGGTTACACAAGGTCAATAATGGAAAATAAATTGTTTCAAAGCACTCCTCGAATAATTTCGTGTCTTTTCTACTTGGTATACCGCTAATCGTTCAAGTGTATCATGGTATGTAAATAAACATTGAATCGTACGTAGAATTATCCATATTTACTGATCAGTTTGAATTTATCTATCGATCGAAGTGCGTGTCTTGCGAAATATATAGATCACCATAGATGAAAATCACATCGATTTTTTCCGCTTTCGTATAACGCATTTCGCAAGACACATAGTAAAAATTGATGATTCTGTAGCCGATAGTCTGATTAACAGATAAATAAAATATTTCGGATGATTTCAACACCTCTATAAAATGAAACGTAGGTATGCAAAAAATTACATCTCAGCATTGTGCGCCGCTATTCACGTAACTCGAGAAATACTTCGAATTTCATGAAAATATTTTAAGAGCATATTTGTAAGAATCAATTTTTCAAAAAGAAATGTAAAAAATTTTACTGAATTGCCCCCTTAAATTAACAAGCATTTATCAAAAATATATATCAGCGCGCATGTAATATGATTCATTCTGATTTACTTGACTTATTTTTGTTTTGATATCTCATCCTAAAGTATCCTCTACGAGGTTCACGACTCGTTGGCAATGTTGCATTTCCTCCAACATAAGGAGCACCTTGATGCAACTTCAGCAATGTCGGAGGAACAGGCATACAACCCACCAAGCAGTTAACGTATTGCATGATTGATATCGGTAACGGAGTAATTATAAATACTTCCTGTCGTTCCATATCGATACCTCGAATTATGCCTATACAATAATACAAGAAAGAAAGACAGGTATATTTTCTTTATACATTTAAAAACTATTCGGAAATATTTGTTAAAAAAGTTCACGCAAAAGTATCACTACTTACCAAACCCGTAGCATGTACATAAAGGAGATCTTTGCG